GGCTGGTATAGTACCTCCAGCAGACTACAGCAGATGGCCACATACTAGATTATCTGTGGTCTGCTGGGGGTGCTATTACCAGCATGCCAGGCCAAGCCAGCCTTTTTCTCACCCATAGACTTTGACATACTCTTCCAGGGGTAAACCTAGCAGCTACTCATACAGCGAAATGTTGTCCTCTTTGCATGAGATGGTCACTATTATCTTTATTTATTTTACATGAGTACACTATCACTGTCCTCAGACACACCAGAAGAGGGCATCGGATCCCATTACAGATAGTTGTGAGGCACCATGTGGTTGCTGGGAATTGAACTCAGGACCTCTGGAAGAGCAGTCAGTGTTCTTACCCGCTGAGCCATCTCTCCAGCACCCATCGCTATTACCTTAATCAGAGCATCGTGACCACACTTCACAAGATGGGACCTTCCGGCATTCTCCTGCGAGCATCCCCGACATGCCGGCCACCCTCTCCCACATCCCACTCTAACCCCAATGAACACGTGGTCTCAGAAAGTTCTAGAGTAAATAGGAGGCATAATGTCAACTGAATGGGGACTCCAGCTTTTATGAGTTGTCACCCATGTAAGTGGGAGACAACTTTGTAGTGATATAGTTATTTTATGATCACCCCCAGTCCTGTAACGGCTTCTGAGAATGTCCCTGCTTCTGAGAATCAGCCCAATTAACTCACTGTCCCAACAAGCTAGATTTGGATGGAATTGTTCCTTTGGGCCTGTTCTTAGTGTTCTGTGTGGAGTAAAGAGATGTTTCCTCCTGTCTCATTGGGAAAAGTTACACCAACATCAGGTCCCCGATGCCACTACCAGGTCAGGAAGCTCTGCCTGGAGGGCTTAGCATGGACACACTGGGGTGGCTGGATGGTGGGTGGATTGGAGAAAGGAAAGCTAGGCCAAAGCTTTAAAAAGCTATTGAGAACTCCAAGCAAGCTTGGGAGAGCCTGAGCCAGGGCCTAGGTCACTGAGGAGGAGGAGGAGGAAGAAGAGGAAGAGGAGGAAGAGGAAGAGGAGGAAGAGGAGGAGGAAGAGGAGGAGGAGGAAGCAGTAACAGACAAGCATGAATCCTTCTGGAATATACAAACAATACCCTATAGAGAACAAACCAAGTGAAGTCTATGGTCAACCTTCAAAGTCCAATTCAAAACCCCACTTGGGACCTTCACAGCTACCACCAATGAGGTTAACAACCTTTCTACCTGTGTGCTTATACCCATAGGATGCTTACCCTCAGCCTCCCCTGGGTTCAAATATTATCTAGACTTGCAAGTCATGTGACCTTGGGTGGGAGTTGGGGTGGGGTTCTGACTAAAGGTGGCAATGCCTCTCAGAGAGCACAGTCAGCAGGGCCCAGACAATGACAATGATGCCGCCGAGTGTCCCTTAGAAGAGGGGTGAGACAGCCTAGTGTCTGTCCCAACCACCTCACCTAGCCCCCTCTGATAGGTGGTGACGCTAAGCCAAGCTGTTCTAAAAAAAATCAGGTTAGAAATGATGGCATCAAGTCCTTAAGATAACAGAACAAGAGACAATCCCAAAACAGAGATGACCACCATACAGCTGCATCAGGGAACTAAGCCCTGACTATCGCCATGCGTGAGTTGGCGTTCTACACAGTTCAACATGCCTGCCCCACACTGCCAAGCAAATCAGAAAACCTGGGGATTGGGAGATAGTTACCAGGATCCTAATAAGCAGAGCCTACTCAAACCCTGGCTCCGCTCTGCGGCCCTTATCCAGAGTGGGTCATTCCTCAAGTGGACCCTGAAGCAAAGAGGAGAGGCCAGGAACACTGTTCTCAGGACATTCAGCAGTCAGCTGAGAGGAGGCACCTGGCCACCTCTAACCTCTATGGCAGCTGCCATAGCACTGCAGACACGCAGGATCAGCAGGCCTATGCTTGGAACTTCCTCCTGTGGGTCATTTTCTCCTCCGTGGAAAGGTCAACAGCCTGAGCCACCCCCTCTTCTTTGCAAGAGATCCTGTAAGCTTTCACAGGCAGTCCGTGGCAAAGGATGCCGTGCTGTACCAGAGAGCCTTGGTGACAAACAGCTCATTGGCCATCATGGGCTCCTGTCTGACAACGTCATCTGCTGTGTGGCTGTTAATGGTGGAATGGCCCCCTGAGGGAGGCTGGGTTTTCCACGCAGTCCATCTGGCCTTCCTCCACCCCAGTGTTCCTCTGGGGAAGCTTTTCCAGATCACAATCACAGCCTGGATTCTAGAACCCCACAGGCCACAGAGACAGAGGTGGAATGGACAACGGTGTGAGTCAACATGCTTCCTAGTAAACATCTGGATGCACAGGGACGAAGGACCAGCTAACTCCAAACTGTTCTCTGAAAGGCAGCACACATGGCCTAACCTCAGCCTGTCTTCATTGCTGACCCCAGAACCACCTCGTACCAGGAACAGAAGACTCCAAGCAGGCCCAACAGTAGCAGCTGCCTGCGAATGGGTACCAGGAGCCTCCATCCCTCTGATTACAGACCCTTGAAGTCCCACTGTCTCCAACTATGATTCCCAAGACACTGTGGCCACCTGTACTGGGAGCAGTCCCAAGTTTATAAATCAAACCCTGAGCCAGGCTCTGCTGGACGCTCCCACACACAGCCCACCTAAGCTCAGGCAAGCCAGGGCCCTGGTACAGCCTCCATCTGCTCATCCAGACATATCTGGGCCTCTGACATCTACCAGCTGGCTCAGCAGATGCTCTGAGATCAAGGTAGAATGCCTTCTGGACTTGAACCTTTAGTTGAGATCTTCTCAATACCACACAAGCAAAAAAGAGAATATGTCTGTTAGGGCCCTAATCCAGAGAAGCAGAGAAATAGAAGACAAGATTCCTGGCCTGAACTCCATTCTTGCTTTATCTCAGCAACACCAGGCAAAGCAGACAAGTCCCACTCAACAACTGCACAGAACTAACATCCACCCCCAAAACACAGCTGACTTCACCCCAAGCTCCAAACAACCCAAAGGTCCTTCATCAGATGAACGGAGAATAGAATGGTGGTATATCCATTCAGTGGAATAGTACTCAGCGGTGAAAAGGAACCACAGCCATAGTAAAGACTGTGTGGATGGATCTAACATCGAGTTGATCAAAAAGAACCACATCGAGAGGACACATTGAACTGCGCCGTTCAACTTTGTTGGGATCCAGAGACAAGTTGAACCTACGTGAAACCAAGATCAGGATAAAGGTTGCCTTGGTGATGGGTGGGTGAGGTTACTGACTGGGAAGGAAGGTGAGGCAACCATAGAGGGTATCTGGGAATCTTTACGTAGGTAGCAATTACCTGAGGTGGACCCACAACTAAAAGCATGGTGAGCTTACACTTAAAATTAGTCTGCACTCTACATGTGTGTAATACATATGGCATTTGAGATACATGATTTGAAGTTTGCCTCTTACTAACAGAATCCATTGCTGTTCAAATTATAACTGATATTTTGCCTGAAAGTGTGGTAGCCTCAAAGCGGGGAGCTGAGACACCCCCAATCCTTCAAGAACCGTCTCAAATCATGCTGTGCAGTCCTGCCTCTCTGCCTCACTTTACCACGTGTTCCTTTACAATAACTGAGCTCTACGAGGGGACCTGATCCTAAAAGAGTTATTGGCTGTGACAAATAGTATGTGATCATTAAAATGCCTAGCGATTGCCTAAGGTACATGAGACACACCAGATCTGACAGCCCCAGCTAGATACCATCTCAGCAATGGTATGCTGTCCACCCCAAACCCGATCCAAGCTCTCTCCATTACTGTGGCCCCAGCCTCCTCTGACACAAATCATACCCGGTGTGCACTAGCAGAGCCCAGAGCCCAGAGCTCCCAGTGCCCACTCCCTGAGCCGCCCGCTGGTTCCTTTCCAGGTCACCTCTGCAGACCTGCACTGTCCTTGCCAAACCTCAGTTGGAGAAGGCCACGTGAGCTCCCAGAAAACATTCTCTCAGGTGTAATGTTTAATCTAGACTCTTCCCCCACACCAACCCCAGCAGGGGCTCCTGCTGGCAAAAGGGACACCCACAATCCTCCTGCCCCACCTCTGTTCAGTCCTCCCAGCTGGATCCTTGCAAATTCAACCTTGGACTCTTCTTCACCCCCCAAGTCAGCAGGGGACGTGGCTAACCCAGCCTCACCTGTGCACAGGTCCAGGTGGGTGAGGAGGCCGGAAGTGGATTTACGTCCAATTCTGCAAAGCTCTCATAGGAGAGAGAGGGCTGGAAACACACGCCACCCACAGGGCTTGAGGGCAATGCCTTTTTGGGAGTGGGAGGGGTGGGTTTCTTTTCCTTAGATATCCCCTCTACTCTGTGTGTGTGTGTGTGTGTGTGTGTGTTTGCTAAGTTTCCACACCCAAAACATTCTTTTAAAAGATACTTCATAGTCATAGGAGGCAGAACCACAGAGCCCAAGTCTGACACACCGGCCACCAGGAGTTTCTCTTTCATCTTGTCAACAGCCTCAGGCAAGGGGGTTTGGTCCCAGCCTCTCCCCAGACTGTGGGCTAGGTGGAGGTCTACTGAACCTCAGTTCACTGGGGTCCTCAGCATGCCCCCATCATCCAGAGCCTCTGGGGACAGACGCTGTGCCCCACTCCAGGTCCCCAGCCCCATAGGTACTTCGGAAAGTGCTCCTAGTCTGGTTTGTGAGCACACAGCACACACAGTGGCACTTTCTCCTGGCCCTGACCTGGGCCACCGCCCCCAAGACTCTACATACAAACTTCTCGAAAACTACCCGAGGCGGGAGGAGGGGGTGAGGGTCCCCTGCTGGGATTGGGGTGCACACGCGCGCGTGCACACACGCTCACGCGTGCACACACACACACACACACGCCCACGCACCGCCCCACCCCCGGAGCTCTGCAAACCCGGCGCAGGCCAGCCACACCGGCTCCCGGGGCGCGCGGGGGACGCAGCGGGGACCCACGCTTGGTGTTGACGGCCCCTCCGGGGAGGCCGGGGCCACTGTACCTTGCAGGTTCTGCACACGGATGTCGCTGATCTGCCCGATGAGCTCCTCGCGCTGGAACCAGTCCCACTCCTGAGC